TTCCAACCATAGTGATTCTGTGATTTTGTTTTGTCTAATGCATATCTTTAATTATTTAGAAATAGAACCTTTTTAATTTTTTTTTCACAGTAAGTATCACTAAAAGGAGAACTAAAGGCTTAGTCCCTACAAAAATACATGTGAAAACAACAGAAGAGATACACCACCAGAACCAGAGTTGTCTAGTCCACGGGCCATTTATGAGGTTGGTCAGTACTAAGTGGTTAGAGCATATGAGTCTTATAAGAGATATGTAGATTAAGATTCAATTTGAATTTATCTGCTTTAGGACTTAAATTGTAGTGTGTGAAGCATCTTGTGATGGCACATGAATGCTGTCTGAAAAACTAAGTATTGTCTCTTGCATATATGTCTAGGCCTGAGGCTGGCTGCTGCAATTACTGCTCGAAAAACCTGAACAGACATTGAATGCTGATGAAAAGCACCTTTTGAATGTATAAAGATACCTGCTTCCCTCTCTTAAAACCGTACATTTTGATCATTAAAATGTACAGAATATTGTATAGCAACTTTTCAAAGAATTGCCTGCTTATTATAAAGTTGTAGTAAGTTGTAGTATTGCTGAAATATTTGCAAGATGACCTAACTACAGGCAAAGGAATGGGTTTTGAAGAGGGTGTAGGATTACAGCAAACTTTGAACACATTACATCTTTCCATAATTTCAGAGAACTATGGAATACATTGAAAAGTCTTTATTGGAAGGGATCTCTGGAGATCTTAAACAATGTTCCATTCAAAGCAAGACCTTAGATTAGTTTATCCCAGGGTCCTGTCAAATTATTTCCTGTGGGAGACATTCTACTAGTTCCCTTAGTAGCCTATTCCAGTGTTTAACTGTTCTCATGGTAAAGTTCTTGTTTTTTAATACTGATATGGCATTTCCCCTGAAGCAAGTTCTGCATGGTGCCTCCATCTTCTATATAATCACCTTTCTTCTAGGACTTAGCCTTTTCTGTAGAACTTTCTAAGAGGTGCTGTATACTTCTTTCCAATCTTTGAACTATAAACCTTCATATAATATAGGGTAATTGCGACTGCAGCACAGTTTTAGTTGATTTATAATTTCACAAATTTGTATCAGTTCCTGTAATTTTGATGTACATAAGCATGCACAATTAATCAACATTTGAAATATACACACCTTGGAGAGTGTTTTGAGATCTGTAAACCTGAACAGCACTGGTGAAAGAAAGCTGGTCCCTAACTGACATAAGAAAGTAGATTAAAAGCCTTAGATTAAATGTTTCATGATTAATCTAATCATAGTCTTTCTGGGTCAGAGCAAAGAGACCGCTGATGCATTATCCTGTTCCTGATAGTGATCATTAATGATGCTTAGGGAGAAGTGTAATAACAAGGCAAGTATTCAGTGCCATCTCTCAATTTCCCAGCATTTTCAGTTGTTAGCCAGTGTGCTATTGGTTTAGGTGCTAAGAGTCCACCAGGGAATTAGTGAAAAGGAATTCTGTGTAGACTGGACTTCTCACAAGGTTGGATCTGTATCCTCTATCAGATAACCAAATTTCTGGTGCCAGGCACACAGCTCTCCTACTAGCTAAGATTCTGGCAGGTCCCTATTGTATGAAAAGAAGTCTTAATTCTTTATCATTCTTTGTCATTCTTTATCTCACTTCTGCTGTCCATAGATACGGAGTATATTTCCATAGATACTGAGTATATTTGTGCTTTCTACTGTATCTTTTTGTTTTGTTTTGTTTTGCTTTTGCTTTTGTGTTTTTGTTGTTGTTGTTGTTTTTGTTTGTTTGTGTTTTGTTTGTTTGTTTGTTTGTTTGTTTTAAAGACCATTGCTTAAAAACAACATTCTCAGCCAAAGATGCATTTACTGAAAGCCTTAGCTTGAGGTCAGGAGAATTCTAGGAAGAGAGTTGTTTAGGAGCAGCAGACAAGACAGTGGGAGTGCACCATACAGATACTTACAGCAGCAGCTCTGGTACAGGTTTACTGTTGGTGTACGTGACAGCAAAAAATCTGAGGCACCAGAGCCAGTCAGGGGCAGCTCAGTGTACAGAAGGTTACACAACAACCCTGTTACCCCTGAGCTGTTTAAGATTCAGTAGCTGGAAAGAAACCTAGGTCAATTTAGTGTCTCAACAACAACTTACTACATATGTAACCTGAACATACAGTAAATGGCACCAGAAAGATGAACCAGCTGGTATGTCTTCCTTGTCCAAACTGCAGATTTTTCAGTCTTGTGGAATCAGGTTACGTGTGTTTGTGCTCCTGACATATTTGTACATGAGGAGGTCAAAGAGTGAAGGGCAAGGCCCTGCCTCCAATGAAAGCCCATGCATCACAGTGCAGGAGCTGCAGATCTGCCAATTAGCTGAGGTCAGCAAAGAAGACAGAGGCAATAGCATTAACCTGGAGAGATGTGGAGAGAGGATTGCATCACAGTGGATGAATCCTCAGTGTTTAAGGCAAATTTGGAATAAATTAGAAAGAGAAAACCAGGCAAGTTAGGTTTCAATACTCCTCCATTCCTCTGCTTTCCAGCTTCGTTACCTGTGAAGATAAGGTCACCAGTAAACTATTGCCTTGATTTTTAAAATTAACAAGTAATCCTACAATGCATCAGTTTTTAATGTCTAATTGTGGGTTCTTTAAAGAGGCTCAATTTCTATTAAGTGATGCCTTTCAGTTACAGAGAGCCAGGAGTTGAAAGCTAGGCACCAAAATGAAGAGTCACTTTAGAAAATATAGGCTTAACTGTCAAAGTCTTTATCTTGTCAAACTGAAGAATACTTAGATAGCTAAACACTTACCTGTTTTTTTCCAGCTCTATTATCAATTAGCAAACAATATCTTTATTTATGAACTTCCTTTCAACTCAGGTTTAAACTTTTGTCTAAGATTAAGGGCAACCCCATTAAAGTCAGTAAGATAAAAAATCACAAACACATGTTGAAATGCTGTATCTATTAGAGATGCTTTTGTCTTCAGCTTTAAGTATGGGGAACACAGCCACTGCCTGAATAGGAGAACTGCAGATGTTCTCTGTGTACTGTTGTTTTATTTTCTCCAGTAACATGACCCACCAAAAGAACAAGAGTATGAACAAAGATCTGAAAAAGGGAAAAAAAAGCTGGTGGCTTTTAATGTCATTTTAAACCACCAAAGAATTTCAGACCAGGCAGCTGTTTATACATCTAAGTACCAATTACTGCTTTGAAAATGAAGCAGAAAACATCTTGAAGATGCTTTCAAAATGCTAGTGTATGGTTTAAATGCAAACTCACGTATGATTTTAGTGTACTGCCCAGGCCAGTACTGGAATGTTTTCTTTGACAGCTCTTCAGAAAAAGTTTTCCACAGAGAAACAAGAGAACTCAATGCTCCATCTCCAATAGACTGCAAGCTGAGCAGCTGGAGTGCATGGGGGCCCTGCGACCCATGCACCTTTCAAAGGGTAAGCTGTAGTTGGGAGTCTTTGTTCCAAAGCCACAACCAAAGGGACAGTCTCCCTCTTCCTTTTGGTTGTGGGTAAGTATCAGATTGCAACTCTTAATATGTTACATTCATGATTTGATTAAACTCATAATTATTTCAGATCTGAAGCTGTAAGAGTAAGGGAAGACTATATCCAGATGTACAAAACCAGCCAAGCATTCTCATTCAAAGTATTTTTTTCATACAAATTATCTATTTTGGCCATGTGGATATTTCTGTTAAGAACATTACTTTTCCATACATTTTCCCTCTTCAGAAAAAAAGCAGGTTTTTTTCAAAAGCAGAGTTTTATTTTCTTATGTGAGTTCTTCTTATGAGACTTAAAAAACATGAAAGATTAGAAAGCATACGATATATATGTGATGTATTTCCTCCATGGATTGAAAATAATGAAAAAAGTGAAATAAACTATATAGTGAAAAATCTTCTAATAATAAAATTATTTGGGTGCTGCAATTACTGCTCGAAAAACCTGAACAGACTTTGAATGCTGATGAAAAGCACCTTTTGAATCTATAAAGATACCTGCTTCCCTCTCTTAAAAAAAGATCACTGAATTCCAACCACCTTCCATAGGCAGGAACACCTTCCATTAGACTACGTTGCTCAAAGCCCAATCCAACCTGGCTATGAACACTTTCAGGGATGGGGCATCCACAGTTTTTTGGGCAGCCTGTTCCAGGGCCTCACCACCCTCACAGTGAAGAACTTCTTCCTTACATCTAATCTAATTTTTTCTCTTTCAGTTTAATGCCACTACCCCTTGACCTATCACTACATGCTCTTGTAAAAAGTCCCTCTCTGTCTTTTTGTAGGCCCTCTGTAGGTAACGGAAGGCTGCTATGACATCTCCCCACAGCCTTCTGTACATACTTGCACCTCTATAGCCTTCTGTACATACTTGCACCTCTATACACATGCTAAGACATTATTATTAATTCAATGCTCATGTACACTTTTTTTCTGCAACACGGCCTGTGCCTATGGATTTTCAACCAAAAATTTCAGCAAAGATGCTTCATTTTGAAAAGTTCTAAGCTCACCTATAAGTCCTTCAGTTCTGGTAGTTCTCTTTCCCCTTTAAGCAATGCTAACAGTGTAATTTATCCTTCAAGTTTCGCTCTAGAAGTGTTGAAAGATTCGGTCAGTTTGGTGGAAGACCATGCCTGGAGACGTTAGGGGAGACACAAAGCTGTCAAACCAGTCAAGTCTGTCCTGAAGAACCACAACCAGACTGTGGTACCGACTTTCAGTGTGCTTCTGGTAGGTTTTGTTTTCATGACATAGGGAATTATGCAATAACTCAAGAAACTATGTTTACTTCTGTGAAGAAGTTAAATAATTTTCCAGTGAAGACAAAGTAGACACACAAAAAGAGAGATATGCTTCAGTTCTTTTCTACTTGGTCATGATTTCCTGAAGCAGTGCCTTATTGCTAGGGTTTAAAGAGAGTCCCCAGTGTGTAAACAGCTGGGTTGCAAAGCCACAACATCAAAACCACAGCACGAGCAATGCTTGAGAAGGGATACATCTCTGTCATCTCTCATTGTAATTTGTAACTAGTTTAAATTCTTCTCCTGCGATTTCTACTTCATCATTAAAAGCTGACCATACTATGACTGTTCTTTCTTCCACTATAAGTGCTCTATCTGCTACAGAATGACTATGTTTTATGAAAACTCAATGGGGAAAACTAGGACTGAAGAAGATTTACCAAAATGCGTAGGGAGGTTTACTGACCAAAGTGGTATGATGGATCCTATCTGGAAACTAGAATGCCTTTAGATCCAGAGTAAAGTGTAATATTTGTAAAGGGATACATTCATGACATGCAAATGAATGTGATATAGAAGATTCACTATAAATCAAAATAAAACAGGAAAATTTAAAGGTAATAAAACTAGTCAAAAGAGGAAAGGAAAGATGGTAAAAGTGAGTTTTGAGTCCCAAGCCATTGTCAGTATTGTCTTCATCACAAATCCTGTGAAGTGCAAGTAGAGAAAGAAAAATGAGGAAGTATGGAAGTATGTGCTTATCTAATAGTTCACAGCCATTGTGCCTCACTTACAGGTGAGGCAGTTGATTTCAACAAATGTTGTTTTATTATGCTAGGGCTAGAGTTATCCCAAATCTTTAAATCCTGTAGAAGTCAGTCTTTGAAAAACCTGTCATATGTAACCTCAGGAGAATTATTATTTCACCGTTGATTTTGAACACAAATCGCTATGGTTTTGGACACTACAGCGTCCAAGTAATATAGTCCAAATAACAGTAATTTGAACCATTTAGAAATATTTCTTTGTTGATATTGAATAAATATTTCCCTGAATTCTATTAATACAAATTTAAGAAAAAAACTAATAATCAAAGATTAACAGGGAAAAAAAAATACAGAACTTTCTGGAAATTACAACAGTTATCCAGTCCCTTACTTTCCTTAGACATTCCAGCAAACTCATAATTAAATTAGTAGCAAGGAAGGGATTTTCCTTTGAAGAAGGCAGAGTGTAGGATTTGAATTCCTTAAGACAAAAGCAGAAAGATGAAGAGCAAGATCTCAGTAAAGGGTAGCTGGGAGTGTCACGTAATGTCCATCTTGGAGAAAAACCCCATTCATTTCATGATTTATTCTTTGATTAGGTCGATGTATAAAGCAACGACTCGTGTGTAATGTAGATAATGACTGTGGAGACTTCTCTGATGAAGATAACTGTGAATCTGACCCACGATCACCATGCCGTCACCATGATATTGATGTGTCCGAAGTTGGCAGGACTGCAGGACAAGGGTATGTAATGAAGAAAAAAGTAGTATTGGGCCTTGAGAAGAGTCTAGGTCTGCCTGCAAAGCTGACTGAAAACACTGGGGCACGCTGACAAAAGTAGAATCTGAATTGTGTTCACATTTGTATTGAGAAATTTTACGTAGCTTTTGGAAGAGCACTAACTACTGTTCTATTTTGTATACTTGGGGAGGATAAAATACTTCCATGGACAGTGTAAATCAATCACAATTCACAGAATCAGTATATAGAAGCTACATGAACAGACTTAGAATATTTCTGATTTAAATTGAAAGATTATAGATACATAGATATCAAGTGATATTTCGTAACAACTCGCTCATCCCCCATTACTTTACTAAGATGTGTCTCTAAAAGGGAGAAAATGTATCTTGATTATTTATACAATGGACTACCTTACTGCAACACTTTGCCTACAGATTTTATCCAGTACCACATTCTCCACTTCCCAGAGCTTTGTTGTTTACAGTCATTAATCTGAGTCAAAAATTAGTTTTCCTATTCTCAAAGCCTACCAGATTTCTTTCTTTTCAAACAAAGTGTGGCACACACGGTGGTCAATCTAACGAATCTAGTTAGAAGGCAGTAGCCAAACTGGAACAAATGAGAACAGAAGTATCCTACAGCACCACCCTGTGTTTAAAGGAAAAGAATGCATCCTTTTCATTTCACGTTGATAGTCACGTTACTGCACAAGATCAAAAACGTTCCCTTTGTATCACGGGGAAGTAAGCCAGGTACTCAGGCATTTTTATAAGTAGCTTCTTTATTATTTCGATTATAATCCATTAATAAAGTCTTTCATGAGAAAATGTGCTACAGATACGCAGCAGTGATGCTGGCAACTTTGAGGAATCAATGACTACTTTCTATGCTCAGATAGGCATATGGACATCTATCAGACATAAATACGGGAAACACCGACAAGATTCCAGTCTATGAAACAGACACAGAAAGGCAAAAAAAAACCAACATAGAATCCTCCAACAAGCAGTTATTTTGGGAAGAACCTCTTGTACGTTGGAATGCAGGTGCATAGAGCTGTACAGCCTACGTGTCCACTTTCCAGATTTCCTCTCCTCTCCTTGAGGGAACTGTTACTCTACCAGGTCCCATGCCAGGAGAACAGACCATGCTAGGAGCAGCTGTATGCTCCTCTCACAGTTTTGGTGAATCTTGTACATACTCGATACCAAAGTTCCTGTCGTCTCATATAAGTTATGAAAAAAACAGATTAAAAGTAGCTGTTCAGATGCTCCTTTTAAACCTATAAGGATGTTTCCTCAAAAGTAATTTGCCAAGAATAAATAGGTTTTACCTCCTTTTTTTTTTTTCCTAAGGTTCTTACTGTGTTTGATGTTCAATATCTATCTTTTACTTATTTCTCATACATAGCCCTCAAAGTTCTTTATGAAAGACGTATCATTATCTCCATTACACAGATGAGAAGACCACAAGAGATGAGGCAACCTAGTGTAGATGAAGCAAGATTCAGTTCCACAGTTATAGCCTGCATTTCTTACAGAATCTGACTTTTCCAGTCATAATAACTTTTTCTGCAGGCTATGGGGACTGACATCTCCTTTTCCAAAGTGTAACCTCTCCTGTATTTCTCTTGTAGAATCAACGTTTTGGGGATGCAGCCAATGGCCAGCCCATTTGACAACGAGTTTTTCAATGGTCTTTGTGAAAGAGTGCGTGATGGAAACACACGAACATACTACCGCAAGCCATGGAATGTGGGTGTTCTCATTTACGATGTAAGTCTAAGCCCCCCTGTGCTGACCTTAGAAACATAATTGTCAGATGCATTTTGGAAATCAAAGGAATGTTTTGCTTATGAAATGTTTTGCCTATGAAATGTTTTGCCTATCACTCTAAGTAGGAACTTCATGACAATTTAAACTAGATCCTTCCCCAAAATGAGTAAATCTAACCCTCACCCAGAGATCATTGCTCCTATTTGACTTGGATGCATAACTATTCTCAGTTACGAAAACTCTGTGTTCTGATAAAGGGTGCAAAAATAAACAACAGTGAAATAGGTAACTCTTAATTAGCTATTGTCTGCTATTAGGAAAGAAAGCAAAATCATGATTTTGATTCGTGTCAGATTTGGGCACTTTTTAGCAAGTCTTGTCTGCATTGCATGAAGAAGCTGGAGACTGCTACTCCTTACCTGTAAAGGAACTGTTGACACACACAAATTACTTTGACAACATTACATGCTGAGATGTAACAGTTACTGAAATTTTGTCACTGCAGTTTTCTGTTTACTTTTGAATCACTGAGCTGATCCAGATGAGGTGGTTTCGGGTGGGGGTGTTATTTCCATTTGTATACTTCTACAAGAAAGAAGAGCTGTATGAAAATGTATTGCTAAATTAGGTAAAGCGCACAACTTTAAGGTGTGATGTAGAGTATTCTGTTACAGCTTGTTTTGTTTTCTCAAACAACCTTTTCATGGGCTTTTCTAAGACAAAAGCAGACAAAACATTTGCATCTGTGTTCTACCATGACCGTGTGAAAATGTTACGAGAGGTGTACATGGAAAAACATAAACACTTCAGTGGTGACCTGTCTCTGAAATACACACCTAGTAAGGGAATTGGCAAAACTGGTGCAGAAGGAAAATTCAAGTATCGCTACAGCAAGAATTCAACCTTAAGTTCTATCCTGACACGCTTCACAGAACGGGTAAGTTTTATCAAGCTCAAGGGTTTAAAGTTTCAATTTCACAAGCAGTAAAATGCACACAGTGCTAGAATAATTCAGTATTAGTCTTTCTAGGTATTCCAGTTGCCTGCTACTTTCCTGTCATTTATTCACAAAAATGAAATACCAGAAATTCTAGGGCTAAGATTTCAGACGTGGCCAGAGGGTAACCAAAAGTAGCTTCATTTTTCCACCCTCATCTTCCACAGACACCTGATGGTAGAAAGGGCCAGAGATCTCTGATCTCACCTTGATTAGAGAGCAGCTCTGATCTAGAGCAATGTAGGCAAATTGGGTCATATCCTGGTATGAAAATTGACACTGGGGAAGCACAAAAATCTAGATATCTGAAAGGTCATATCTCAGCCATTCAGGTATGTCCATACTAATGAGCTAGCCTGGGCTAAGAGCACAGCCACACAATAATCTGTAGTTTTACTCACACACTGCCATGATCTGTGCCAGATCTCATTCTCTCAGAAGCAATGCCCATCCCGTGGTCCCCTGCAGAATGTTTGAAGGCAATGTTCCCCATAAGCAGCCTGGAGAAAGCAAGCCTACTTTGGAGTTGCACACAAGGTGCGCCACTCTACCTGCCCTTTGAGACAGAGGAAAATCTCTATCCCATTTTATTTACTAGGAAAGAATTAGCCTCAGCATCCAGGTACATTAAGGAGAGAGAGACACCACAAAAATTGATACTGGACATGCTAGATACTGTGGCCTAATCCAACATCTGGGTCCTTGTGGGATTAACTGACCAGATCATATACCCTTTTCTCACCATATATGCCAAAGTCTACCATCACAGCATGCTGCCATGGGCAAGGTATACCAGATCCATAGTGCTGAAATGCCACATGCAAGGGAGGCTGTATCTGTCTCAACAAATTCAATCTTGCAAGTTTTTCGACAGCCTTGTTGTCTAGGACCCCTTCAGAGCTCTGGAGATCAAATGGATTTAAGGGAACACTAAGATAACTTTTATATGTAATTAATTAAAATAATGCTGAAGAGAAAGGTCTGTGCTGTACAGAGGAGCTGACATATAGCACTGACTATGTACTGGTATGAATTTTCTTGGGACAGAAATGGATCATTTAAATATCAAAGCATTCGTCTTCACAGACACAAAACATTCAGTTCTGCAGCTCAGGGTATATTACAGGTGGGTCATAGTCTAGGGGCTTGTGACAGGAGTTTTGGCTTCAAATTCTTGCTCCAGATTAATTTTCATTTTAGGATTTTTTTTTTTTTTTAATTGGAGTTGTGCCCTTCCTTCTGACAGTCTGAGAATAACGGAGAAGTGATCCAAAAAAAGAGAGAGTTTAGTTCTGCTTTCACTGTAGACAAAGACGAAACTCCAGCTGACCTCTATGGGTAGCTTCTGTTATCTAGCAAGCCATATGGAATTTCTTTTTAATGTTATGAAAGTCAGAAAGATACTTTCAACAGATACTGTATTTAAAGACAAGACCTTGTCAAATAGATCATAAAGGGCTTGCAGAAATTAGTTCAGTGGAGAGTTCTGCAAAACTGGAAGAACTGAAATTATCTGAATCACTTTTTGTTTCTTCAGTTTAAATTGGGGAACTTCTAATCTGTACTAAACCAGTTTGTCCCTGTTCCAAAATGCTATGTTGAATGTCACGTTTACAAGTGTTGCATTTTTTTTTACAAGTGAAATAGAACAGATTTTCCTGCTGTGCTGTGTACCAGAATGACACTCATGTGTTTACTTCTTCCCTCATTCAGAACCAAACCTATCTGCATGTAAAAGGAAATATTCAGCTGGGAAGATTCCAAATGCGGAGCCGTGATGTCCGTCTCACAGACAGTTTCCTTGAAGATCTAAACTTTCTGCCTGCTGAATATGATAAGGGGGAATATTTCAAATTCCTAGAAGACTATGGTACTCACTACGCAGTCTCTGGAACTGTGGGAGGAAAATATGAACTTGTGTATGTGCTAGATGATTACGCTATGTCCCAAGTAGGTATGTGTTTTATTGGCCTTGCTATGGTATACAGATTATCACCAAGTCACCAGTCCTGGAAGGAGATGTGTGAGGGTAGATTTGTTTATATGGAGAATTGGTGAGAACTGCACAGTTCAGTGTGTGCTGCTTGTAGCACACCAGTGACGCTACAGAATTACATGAGTCAGCAGAGGTGAGAGTCAGTCTTTGCAACTTCCAGAATTATTTGAAGTCTGTAACTGAGGAAAAAAAAAAATCTTCAAACAAACAAACCTCTTCAAAATACTAGCAATATGAATTGGTGTGACATGATTCACAGAAGATCCCAAATACTTGGAAAATCTGCCTGAATCAAACTTTCTACTTGGTACCTTCTTATGGTACAATCACTACAAGAAAATGATGGTGGCAAAAATTAAGAAATAAATTGAAGAACTTCCTAGAAATCGCATGAGTATGTTGAAATTGCTTGTACAGACTTTAACACTCACACTAGAATTTTTCTTGCCCTAGTTAAGATAGGAAAGTAGCAGTTTAATGCTCATGTGCAGTTCAGATTTATGTGGTGTTGTGAAGGATTAAAGTGATCACTCTGGAATAAAGTTAGAAAAGGCAATTCTCATGCTGATTTTTGAGATCAGAAAATAGGTACCTGCTGTATGCAGCCCAATATTATTATCAGATAGTCTGACTATGTGAAGGGACATGGAGCAAATATATCATGTATCCCACTCTTTCTTTGTTCAGCTCCTGGAAACTGTGGTGCTGGATTTTAAGTACCAATCTCAAGAAAAATTTCGAACACAAACGTGAAGTTCCAGATGATAAGTTTGACTTTAATAAAGAGAAAGGAGTTGTTGGAGGCAGTAGCAGACAGAGGAGGATTAGAATTTTGGGGAATAGAGTACTTGTAAGAGATTAGTGGCCTTAGTTAACTTCATGGGGTAAAGAAGTTGAGAAACATGTTTGAGACTGGAGAGAAAGAGAGACTAGAAGGACTGAATAATTTAGCACATAAAAAGAGCGAATGATAAAGCATCTAAGAAAGACAAAATTCCTATAGATTGTGTGGAAAG